GACTAAGCCAGTAAATGTGGTGTTTACATGGAATAATCATATGAGTTTACCTTATGGTGCGAACCCAGAGTCTCTGCATTAGCGGGAAAGCGATTAAACGATCATCTTCTATCCGAAGACTTGTGTGTTGCATTAAGGGGCAAAACAAAAACACATTGTCGAACAACAATATAAAATGCGGGAAACTATTAATTGGTTATTATACAATTAATTGTATTACAAATTATACTACGACTGGAAAATACTGTAAATTGATAAATGATGGCGTGATGACGTTAAATGTCTCCGACAGCGCCTGTAGTCCCATTTAGCAACTTGTTAGCAACCATCTTTTTTAAGAAATGTAAGTTTAAAAAAAATCAGGAGTGGGGTGTAACTGGTGTGTTTTATGTTGTAGAATAAAACGTGAAAGTATCTTGAGCTTGTGTGAACCACGGACCTTATTTTACGGATTTAACCAAAATCCCATAAAAAAAAAACCCATCGACTCTGGGAGATGGAACCGGAAGTGGAAAACCGGAAAAGGCTAACTCGCTTCCGGGTTTTTGCCTACAACGTGACATCATAGTTCCACCACTCTATAAAGGTAAATTATGTGAAAAATAATGCGTTTTTAAAAAAAACGAAGCATTAACACGTTAGACTGCACGCCAAAAACACAATCAAGCCTAGAAAAAACCCAGTGAACCACCCCTTTAAGCAGCACAACTGTTTTCAACATTGATAATAATAAGAAATATTTATTGAGCATCAAATCAGCATATTAGAATGATTTCTGATTTCTCATGTTAGACGGCTGAACATGTCTTCACAGAAATAAATTATATAAAAATGTATTAAATGAAAAGTAATTTTGAATTTTAATAATATTTCACACAATTACAGTTTTTACTGTTTATTAATCGAATAAATGCATTGGTAAGCATAGGAGACTTATTTCAAAACTATTTAAAAAATCGTACTAACTTCTACTCTGAATGGTAGAGTATGTACGTATACTACTCACTGACAAAAATGTAAAAAAGAAAAGAAATAATAATAATACATAAATGTAAAAAATTGGGATTATTTGAATGTATTGATAACACTACATTTTAAGTCGAAAATGTAAGTTTTTCTACATTTTCTGCAAAAAAAAAAAAAGGGTCCTCTTAAAGTACCCTTGGTTGGGAATCACTGGTGAAAAGGTCTTTTTTTTTTTAATTTTCAGTACAGCAGGTCTGGCTTTAACACGTAAGGAAGGTCGTAGGACTCTCAGAATGGGCTGGACACTTGAGAAGGTGGGTGGAGGTTGGTTGCCAGGGTGGGCCAAGCTCATGATTGGGTGGGCCAGGCCCGCCCAGGCCTCCTGTGAAGTCAAGCCTGCTGGAAAAGTGGATGTGTTTGCAAGCTCCCCTGACTAATTTAGGACAGGAATGTAAGGCTTTCTTTACTAAGAATTATTGTAGATGTTTTAAATAATTTTAATAATTAAAGTCACACACCATAACAGACCAAGCATACATAAAACCAAATATTAATTTATACTCTAAAGTATCAAATCTTTGCAAAAGTAACCTATGCTAACATTCTGTATTTGTAAGCCTATAATATTTACAGGTATGGTGTCCCTGAAACATTGAAATTCTATATAAAGGCACATTTTGCATAGCCATCACCTGTTAAAACAGGATAGGATTTACATTCAAGCTGGTGTGTAGTTGACATGCTTCACACTGACATGAGATTTCTTGCACGAAACCCTGAATACATAAAATAAATAAACACCAGGATGTATAAATCCCAAATGAAAAAAAACAAAAACAAATATCTTATCAGGCACACAAACACACAAAAGAAAAAAAAAGTAAGAAAGGATTGTGATAAACAACTATGGACTGTATATGAACAGTTTATGAATTTTAGGTGTGCATTAATTGCATTCTAAAACTTTAATGATGTAGAGACGTATCGATTGGTTAAGCTAAGAACTGAATGTACAACAGTTAAAAAATATAAGCAAGAGATTC